GTGTGTGTATGTGTATGTGTATGTGTATGTGTATGCATGTGTGGGTGTATGTGTGCGTGTGTCGTGTGTATGTGTGTGTGTGTGTGTGTAAATATGTGATTTTATGAAAAACAAGATGAAAGTAGTAAAAGAGATCCAACAAGAGAAGATGTGATGCAAGCAAGTCTAAGCATTTTATTTTATTCCCTCTCATTTCATCTTTCTTTGCTTTTCCATCCATCTTTTCAACTTAATATTTTTCCCTTAACGAATTTTATTTAAACTTCACTTTTTATACCAAAGTAGTAATAATACTGATTATAATAATAACAATAACAACAACAATGATAATATTAATTCTCGTAGTACTACAAGTAATAGCAGTGCTATAATAGTTGTTGTTGTTGTTATTCTTGTAATAGTAATAGTAATAGTAATAGTAATAGTAATAGTAATAGTAATAGTAATAGTAATAGTAATAGTCAATAAGTAATAATAGTAATAGTAATAGTAATAGTAATAGTAATAGTAATAGTAATAGTAATAGTAATAGTAATAATAATAGTAATAATAATAATAATAGTAATAATGATAGTAATAATAATAATGATAATAAAAATAATAATAAAAATAAAAATAATGATAATGCTGATAGCTACAATTAGTGCTCGTTTCATTATCAATATCATGTATTCATTGTTGGTACATGAACAAATGGAATTGCAATTTTTTCTTATCAAGTTACATTTCATCTTTGGAATTCTTTTCTTCCTAATTTCATTAAATTTGAAACGACAAAAATCACTGATAATTATAATTATCTACCGGGAAATCAACATATTTTGGTCGAAATTCTTCGTTTTTTATTTTTCGCTACAAATTTTTCAAACGATTTTAATTTAACACAAAAAAGGAAAAGAAGGAATGAACTTTCTTTATCACATAAGGGAAATTGCTGGAACTTTAATTAGTCATTAATTATTCCTCTCTCTCTTTTTAATTATTTCTATTTTTTCTTTCAGTTATCAGTTAGAAAACGGAAATTGTTAGAGCAAGTGATGAAACAGGAACAAACATACATTGAAGAAACGATATCAACGGAACGACAACGGCGCGTAACGGATGGCATACTCCGGAAAGGTGTTGAGTATTTGGAAGTTGTTGAAAAACAACGTTTAGCACATTGTCAAACAGCGCTTGGACGATTTCAACGGAAAATTTCTCAATTAGGACCAAATTTAAATATGGTATAAATTTTATTTAAATTAATAAATGTTAACATTACACTTACGCAATTTCAATTGATTTATTTGTTAAAATTAAAAATAAATAATTTCACTTTAATTAATAATAATGGTAGGTAATTGTTATAATGAAAAATCAGTAATCATTTTCAAATATTTGAATTTAATTTGCGAAACATTTTTCTCTTCTTTCTTTTCTCTTATTTCCTCTTTCATTATATGCACTTTACCATATTTTAGGAAATGTTTTTTTTTTAATTTTAATTTTAACAAATAAATTTGAACACATGCAAAATCATTATAAAATAATTTTTTTTCCTAAATATTAATGAAGTACAATATTTCGAAAATATTATAAATGCATATAATCTATTATCAAAAGGTCACTTTAATAATAATGCAAAGGTCATCTAAGCGGTAATTTTGAAAGGATTTTCTCTTTTTTTTATCAAAAAATATTTTCTCTGTCATCAATTAACACTCAATTTTCTTCTTTCCTCTTTTTTTAAACAAAATCTCATTCTTTCATGAAAAATTTAAAATCGATGGAATTAAAGAGTAATTAATTGATTAGTTTAAATTATTATTATTTTTTATTTAGATGTTTGAACGTTGTATGAATGCATTGAATGAAGCTCTCAATGCGGAACCAAACGAACAAATTTCAATGTTAGCACCAATTTCGTCAACAAATCACACAATTTATTTGTGTGATTTTCATGTTAGTTTTTTTTCATTTTTTAAAATAAATTGATAAATTATAATTTAAATTCATTTTCTTTTTTTTGTTTTTCGTGAAATTGCAATTTATTGCATGCAAAGATTTTTAAAATAACTTATTATTTAGAGTTAACTAACTAGGCTTAATTTAATTTGATTTAATTTTATATCTCCAAATTTCCAATTTGTTACTTATAAAATGAAATTTTAGGTCGTTTTTCTTCCTCTTTTCCAAATTTGTTGTAAATAAACTTTATTGCAGTAATGATAGTTATATAATGATAATAATTTATGTAATTATGATAGAAATTATGCAAAATGATAACATTTGCATTTACATGATTAAAATGTTGGTGATAAGACATGATTTGTATGATTATGATATGATATCCAGCATAATTTTTATAATCGTAGTAAATTAATTATAAATGATAATTACCTTTATTATTATAATAACTAAGCATGCATAAAACATACACATATACACACCGTGATAGTTAAATTAATTTTAGTCATTATTTATTAGATGATAATAAAGTACGGCTGTTAGAATTTAATTAAATTAATTACAATATGTAATAATTTATGTCTCCAGTTATGTATGATAGTTATTAATGATACATACATAAGTTTGGTTAAAAAAATGAAATTGTTGTTTGCTTAATTATCGGTTTAATTGATTAATTAATTGTTAAACTAATGAACAATTTGTGTTGATGTAAAAAATGTACTGCATTAAAATTATAGAAATTAAATGTTATTTATTAATTGGAGCAAAAAAAAGAAGTAAATAAACAAATAAATTCATGATATGATTATGAATTAATTGATATGAATATGAATATGAATTTATTGATTAGTTACTGAATATAATTTTTTACAAATAATTATTTAAATAAAATTATTATTGGTTTAATTATTAGGATTCATTTTAATATCATTTATGGTTATTTTTAGGCAGAAAATTTTGCTGAAATAATAGGTGGACAACGACGACGTTGGACATTGGAACGAATTAATGCAGTACTTCATCAGTATTTGAAGAATACTCAATTAGAAGCTAATCCAATGTTACCATCATCAATTAATATTGTAAATTGTTTAAGTTTTATTGCCAATTTTTCTCCTTTAATTAATTTAATACATAATTTAAAATTCGATAATTTTTTTTTGCACTAATTTTGTTTTTTAAGAGTTATGTGGAATTTTTGGAATTTTTAATTTATAAAATAAACGAAGCATTGAAAAATATCGATGGTGAACAGAATAGAGAATATCATCGATTAGCACGTTTCCAGCAAAAACTTAAAGATAAAATGGTTAAATTTTATATCATCTTTTTAATTTTTTATGATGAAAATTTTTATGATAAAATTTTAACTTTTTTTAAAAAAATTTTTAAAAAAAGAAAATAGAAAATTGAAAATTAGAGAATTGTAAAATATTTGAAATAATTTTTTCATAAATTATTGTAAATTAATGAAATATTTATTTATTTATTAAATTTTTTCTTTTTATAATACAGGGTTTGGCGCAAACGATATTGACAATACCTTTAGATGAATTTGAAAATGGTGAAAAACCATCTGCGCCAAGTTTACCAACAACATCAAGTATAGAAGATGAAATTGAACCAGTAAGATTTTTCTTTTTTATTTTTCAATCATTTAATAATGAAATAAGTAAGTGATAAGAGAATGATGATGATAAAATTAACTTTTATTACATCGTTTACAATTTGTTTGCAATTTATGCAAAATTTCATAAAAAATTATAATTTTTACAGTAATAAAAAAGATTGCATGAAATAATGCTAAATTTTATAAAATTTAAAAAATAAAACTTAAAAAATTGAATGAAAATTTAAATTTTAAAAAAATTTAATAATATTTAAAAATTTAAAAGTAAATTTTATAAAATTTAAAAATTTTCAGTTTTCTTTTTTAATAAATTAAAATTATGAAACATATAAGATATTTTAAAATGATATTTAATGGATATATTTTGCTAATGCATACTATTTTAAAACTAGTAATTTTAATTAGTAATTAAATTTTGAATAAAATATTATATGCTAATATTATATATCGAAAATTTTACTAATAAATTTATATATTTTGTTGTTTTTTTTTACGTGAAATTTATGTTTTACGTGAAATATGTGTTTATGTAAATTAATATAAAATAATCTTTTCATTTTATAGATTGTTAATGAAACACGTGAGCCATTAGAACAATATGCTGCTCCAAGTTCGATATTATATGATGATTTACAACATATGCAAAATACCTCATCATCAACATGTACTAGTAATAGTGAAACAATTAAACGAATTTATCGTGTTTTATATGATTTTACACCTAAAACAGATGATGAATTAGAAGTTCATGCAGGTGACTGTGTATTAGTTGAAGGTAAAATTGGTAATGATTGGATGATTGGACAAATTATTTCAAATAATCAAATAATTGATGAAAATGATACATTGAAAATTACAATATGCAATAAAATTGGACGTTTTCCAACATCATATGTTGCTTCAGCTAACAATAGTTAATTTATGATAATGATAATGATATGTTATCATTTGATTGTATCATTTCTACCATACTCTCATATCCTGTGCAAATAAATGATGCTTGATTAATTTAAATCAGTAATTATTTATTCAAATGATCTCGATCATTTCATTTTATCTTGTAGATATACAATGAAATAGTCATAAAACATTGATAATTTTCAATACCACTTTTTTTTTTCATTTTATTGTAGGACATTAGCGTTTCATTTTAATTTTATTAGCTTTCACTTCAGTTTAATTTTTATTAGCTTAAATTTTATTAGCTTGTTACAATTATCACAGGATAATTTTACAATTGACCTTTTTTGTGTGCATTATTTTTATGCTATTAAGCGTTTAAGCTTTAGCTCTACGATGTTTACATGTATTGGTATTTTGTTAAATTTCAAATTTTACAATTTGAAATTCTTTTTCTTTTCAAAATTATAGCATAAACTTATTATCATTGATTATGTTGAGACATGCGACATTTCTTTTTAGGCATCATTGTCACCATATTTGTCCACATTTGTATTGAAGTTCTTTTTTTTTTTGCAATACTTCTATATATGTATTTGGCAAACCAGTTGATGCTCAATAAAATATTTACAAAAACTTTTCCCCATTTGTTTACAAATAAATTTTTAAAAATTTTATAAATTGAAATAAGATTGAAATGATATTTTACCGTAGATAAAATTAACAAATGCATCAAATGAAAATGTTTGAATAAAAATTGCAGTAATTATATATTTGAGTAAAGAAAAGTGGAAAATTGGTGTAAAACATATATTATTACGATAGATTTTGTATTTTATTCAAATATTTCATGCAATTTATGCCATCCGAAATATTCCAAATTTTTGAATGAAAATATTCTAAGAAATTGATTGATTTCATATTTGATTTGATTGTATGATTTAACTTTTATTTGATTTGATTGTATGATTTAACTTTTATTTGATTTAATTTTTTATTCCAAGTATTCTTTTTTGTTTTTTTTCGTTTTTTTTTTTCGAAGTTATAAATACATCAGAAAATGTTTATAATCCTAGCATGAAGTAGTGTTTTTTCTTTTTTTCATTTGTAATATTAAATTTGATTTAACATATTCCATTACTATGTCAAATATAATTTGATTCATACGCCTTTTAAATTATTTAATTTAAATGTATTTAAATTCTATTGGAGATAAAGTTCGCATATTTATTTCCACAACATATGATCAAATTAAAATTTTTACGCTGGGATATTTCAAATATAGGGTTATCAGAGAGAGAGAGAGAGAGAGAGAGAAGAGAGAGAGGAGGAGAAGAGAGGA